TATAAATATATATGCATATTATAGTCACATAACAACCGTTGGACATTTAGGAGTAGGCCAACAAGTAACGTGTCAATAATAGTTGGACAGCGGCTTATGTGTTATGAATTAATCTCAATAATTCGCAGCTATGTCAGTCGTATTGCCATGAGAGGCACATGTTTATTTAACGTTCGGTGAAGCAGGAATGGAAGAATGACAGAAATACGAATCAATACTTACACGTAACCACGCACCCATTCGAACACACGCATATAAGAGCACACAAATATACACGAGCACGCGTACGCACACACACATACACACACATGCACACACACACACACACACACACACACACACACACACACACACACACACACACACACACACACACATATATATATATGTAAAGGCACACGCGTGCCCGTGTATAGATGGCATTTACGATTTTGGCAACTAGATGAATTTATATCTTAGAGCTATTTCACAGATAGACACATCATGCATCTAACATCGTGCACTCGTGCGCGTCTGTGCATGCATGTACATACGTTCGTGCGTGTGATGTGTTGGCATATATGTATAAGAAAGAAAGAGATAAATGGAAAGATAGAGAAAGGAAGTCAAGACAACGATCGAGGGGGAGAGGAAGGGAGAAACAGCGCACGCAAGAGAGTCAGAGAAGGAGAGGGAGAGAGAAAGAAAGAGAGAGAGAGAGATGCGAGAGGGAGAGAGAGAGAGAGAGAGAGAGAGAGAGAGAGAGAGAGAGAGAGAGAGAGAGAGAGAGCGCGATCGAGAAGAGAGAGACAGAGCAAGATAGAAAGAGAGAAAGCAAGAGAGAAAAAACCACGCACATATTCATAAACATATGTATATTCAAAGTATACATATTTTCATAATATAAGTATAGATAACAATACTATAATAGCCAATTAATTATCTATAGTGCGTTACGGTGAATGAACGTGAGTACATGGCTTTATCGACCTACGTTCGTTTGTCAGCCACACATGGCTGCTGCCGCTGTTGCTGATGACGATGATAATAATGATGATGATTATAATCATTATAAAATTATAATAATAATAATGACGATGATACTAATATGCTACTACTAATAATAATAACACCAATTTATAACAGCATTAATAACAATGAAATAACGAAATCTTCATTGCCCACATCTGATACCGACAGAGCTACGCCTTGTCGACGACACCTTAGAAACATACGAATTCTACGTCGATATTGTAATTGCATTTTTAATTATTAATTTTACATGCATGCAAATGCCACGAAACGTTATATATGATATAATATAATAAAGAGTCCGTGTGAGAGAGCTAGTGAGATCTGTAGGAAAGAACTGTAGCAGAATCTCGCTTACCTGTGGTAGGATGACGATGAGCGTATAGGGAAGGGATCCTTCTGTGTGAGTGCAGCTGACGAGGCGAACTGTCTGCTAGTGGCAACAGCGCCGCCTTCTGTTTCTATTTTATTGCGCTCGGTTTCCTACTCGTGAGTCATCGGCTCTTTCCGGCAATCAGACACGTGTACCCAGAGCGATAAGCGTTTGGCTGGAAGGTCAGCGCGTGTACATCACGCGCGCGTCTCGCAAAGTATTCGCTGGCAAAAAAATAGTGCGCATAGTCTGTTGGTGGTGGGCGTGCGCGCGCGTATGGTTGGCCATCGTCGTCAGAAATAATTATTTTCACCGCGGTAAAAATAAAGCGGTACCGGTAGAAATTTCGCGGTAAAAATAATAGCCCCATTACCCAGTCAGAGGCCTTTATACACATAATTCAACCGCGGATAAATTACTTTTACAACGGTAGAAATAATTCAACCGCAGTTAAAGCCGTACTATGCGCATCCAAACGCTAATTTCTCCAGTACTAGACTAGCAAATACTTCATGTCACGCATAATCACACTACCTTATGACAAAATAAACTCTAGTTCCTCCCATTTCACTGCGCGTTGTCTTATAAAAGGCATTTGAAAATACCTCCAATGTTGTTCAAATTCTCCGATGTTGTTGACACTTTCGCGTTGCCCTGCCAAGCAACCGCACATCGGTGCTGCGGTACAGCGGTACAGGTGTAGCAAAGATAAAAACATGTGACGTCACCTAACCGCTTCGAGGCTAAATTGTTTGGCAAACAAGTCGGCGTTGGAGCCAGAATGCCAGTTTTCTCACCTCTTTCTTGTGGGTTTTAAGCAAACGCGCAGTGAAATGGGAGGAACTAGAGTTTATTTTGTCATAAGGTAGTGTGATTATGCATGACACGAAGTATTTGCTAGTCTAGTACTGGAGAAGCGGCTTTAAACTATGGCCATTTTACCCATTCAGACGCCTTGTTGCTCATAATTTAACCGCGGTAGAAAATTATTTATCCCCGGTTAAATTATGTGTAGCAAGGCTTCCGATTGGGTAAAAGAGCCGGCCAACCATTCGCGCGCGCGTGTGTGTGGGGGGGGGGACTACCGTAACACTGACTTGTGTATTCTCCTGCTAATTATAATCCTGACTAAATCTATTGTAAACACGTAGTTTACATAAGTTTTAGAATGCAACGCCTATTTAAAATTACATTGCCAGCAGAGTATTCTTGTGATAACTAGCTTGGGCAACAACAACAGGTTCAATGGAGTATGTGAAATACGAGTCTCCGACGACCAGGGCTTTTGCGCATGCAACACAACCGTTGTTGTTCTAAGGAAGCTTTTCGCTCACGTTCCAGGTTTTACGGTTTAGTAGGTGCGGGGTAGTGGCACCCTGTCTTAAGGGTAGTGTCAGGTTGCGTCAATAGATTCCACAATAGATAACACGAGAAGAGAACACGATAGATAACACGATAGATAACACGAACACTGTGTTATAAAGCTACTCTTTGTTTTATGTATTTTTATACTTTATTATTTGTTCTATTACACCACAGAATATTCTCCATACTACATACTACATAGATGACTACACACCCACAGAAGGGTGTGAATAAAACCCGGACCCGGACCCGGACCCGGACCCGGACCCGGAAAACCGGCATAAAACCCGGACTCTGACCCGGAAAACCTGCATAACACCCGGACCCGGACTCGTGAATAAAACCCGGACCCGGACCCGGACCCGGAACAGTTCGTACCTACGTTTCCTACCACGTGAAACCAGGCGCGCAAATCCATTTTGAGATGTGGGGGGGGGACACCAGTAGCGAGCACGCGAAGGGGGGTCTGGGGAAATTTTTTTCAGAATTTTTTTGAAATTAGACCCCCTCAGGTGCGTTTTCTGCGCGAGCAGGGGGGGTCCGGACCCCCCCCCTGTACAGCGCTGTACACGCCCCTGCACACCACACACACACACACAACACACAAACACACACACACACACACACACACACACACACACACAACACACACAACACCAACCACACACACACAAACCACACACCACACACCACACACACACCACACACACACACGACAAACCACACACACACACACACACACACACACACACCACACACACACAACAACACACACACACAACACACACACACACCACCACACACACACACACACACACACCAACCACACAAACACACACACACACACACACACACACACACACACACACACACACACACACCACAAGGTGTGGGTGCTCCATGCCAGTCATAAATCAAAAACAAAAAGCCAGAAAACCCAATCATTTGGGTGGCGAGCGCTGATCTCAAAATAAATTGGTCCGTTATTAATTGTTGGGTCAGTCAATATCATAATATATGCGTGTATATATATAATCAATTGCATGGAAATTCTTATTAAAACGTGCTCAGTTACTCCCCAGCGCCTCTTGCGAATATAGCCGTGTCTCCAGCAAAGTGAGATCCAGAATATTCAAAATACAGTGATATTTACTCAGATCAATATATATATTAATAAAAATCTAAAAAGTTGTGTCACGCGATTTATTTTGATTATTAATCATGAAAATATCCGAGATCAAATATAGCTTAAAACCATCGTCTGCTATTCTGGAGTCAGCTGCGCACACTGCCTTCGTAAGTCATCGGCTCTTTCCGGATTCGTGACGTCACATGTGTCAAACAATACCGAGGTCAACAAGCCAACTTGATAAGTTAGAGTGATTATTCGCGTTTTATTCATTGGCATTTGACCCAATTAATCATGGTGCTCTATTGTTCGGCAGTTACTGCCACAATGGATCTGGAAGTGGCAGATCATTTACGCGTTTCCGATGTGAAGGATAAAAGGAACTTCGCGAGAATGGCTGCGAGAAGAGGAGGGGAGAGCTGGATGGGAGGAGGAGGCAGGGGGAGAGGAAGAGGAGGAGGGTGAGAAGCTGGTGTGAGAAGGAGGAGGGCGAGGAAGGAAGAGCTGGTGGAGAGGAAGAGGGGGAGAAGGGATGAATAGTGTGGGAAAGCGAGGATGCGAGAAAGTGGTGCGAGAAGGAAGGAGGGTAGGAAGGGAGAAGCTGGTGGAGAAGAAGGAGGGGAGAAGCTGGTGGAGAAGAAGGAGGGGGAGAAGGAGAAGCTGGAGGAGAAGGAGGTGGGGAGAAGCTGCGTGCGAGGAAGGAGGAGGGGAGAAGGCAGAAGGAGGGGGTGAGCAAGCTGGTGGAGAATGGAGGAGCGGGAAGGGGAAGGAGGAGGGGGAGAAGCTGGTGGCAGGAGGAGGAGGGGGAGAAGCCGGAGAAGCTGGAGGAGAGGAAAGCGAGTGGAGAAGCTGGTGGAGAGGAGGAGGGGGAGGAAAGTGGTGCGAAAGAAGGGCAGGGAGAGAGGAGTTGGAGGGGGGAGGCGATGAGTGGCTGGAGAAGGAGAGGGGAGAAGCTGGGAGAGAGGAGGGGGAGAGGAGACTGGTGCGAGAAGGGAGCAGGGGGAGAGCTAGGAGAGAGGAGAGCGGGAAGAAAGCTGGGTGGAGAAGGAGGAGGGAGAAGCTGGTGGGAGGACGAGGGGCGGAAGGAGAGCTGGTGGAGAAGAAGGAGGGAAGGAGCTGGTGGAGAGGCAGGAGGGGAGAAGGGAGAGGAGGAGGGGGGGAGCTGGTGATGGAGAGGGAGGGGGAAGAGGTGGCTTCTCCCTCTTCGACCAGCTTCTCCCCTCTCCTCCTCACAGCTTTCCCCTCTCCTTCTCACAGCTTCTCCCTTCTCCTCCTCTCTTCTCCACCACCTTTCCCCCTCCTCCTTCTCCACCACTTCATCCCTCTCCCTTCTCCACCAGCTTCTCCCTCCTCTTTTCCACCACCTTTCCCTGTCTCCCCCTCTTCTCTCTCCACCAGCTTCTCCCTTCTCCCCCTCTTCTTCGTCTCACCAGCTTCTCCCCCTCCTCCTCCTACCAGCCTTTTCTCCCTCCTCCTTCTCCTCCTCCTCCACCAGTTCTCCCCTCCTCCTTCTCCACCACCTTCTCCTTCTCCCCCTCCTCCTTCTCCACCACCTTCTCTCTCTACCCCTCTTCCTCCTCTCACCAGTTTCCCTTCTCCACCACCTTACCCTCTCTCTCCTTCTCCACCAGACTTCTCCCCTCTCTCCCACCTTCCCTCATCCGCCACCCTTGTCCTCCCCTCTTCCTCTCCACCAGCTTCTCCCTCCTCCTTCCTCCTTCTCCACCAGCTTCTCCCCTCCTCTCTCGTCCTTCTCCCCACCTCTTTCTTCCTCACACCAATTCTCCCTTCCTTCTCCACCACTTCTCCCTTCTCCCCTCCTCTTTCTCCACCCACTTCCACTTCTACCTCTCCTCCTCCACCAGCTTCTCTGGTCTCACCAGACTCTCTCCCTCCTTCTCCCTTCTCCCCCTCCTCCTCACACAGTTTCCCCTCCTTCTCTACACCAGCTTCTCCTTCTCCCTCCTCCTTTCTCCACAACTTCTCCCCTCCTCCTTCTCACCACCTTTCTCCTCTCCTCTTTCTCCACCAGCATTCTCCCCTCCTCCTTCTCACCACCTCTCTCCCATCTTCCCCTCTTCCTCTCGCCCAGCTTCTCCCTTCTCCCCCTTCCTTTCTTCTCCACAGCTTCTCCCCCTCCTCCTCCTCACCTAGCTTCTCCCCCTCCTCCTTCTCCTCCTCCTCCACCGCTTTCCCCCTCTCCTTCTCCCACCTTCTCCCTTCTCCTCCCTCTCCTTCTCACACCTTCTCCCTTCTTACCCCTCTTCCTCTCCCAGCTTCTCCGCTTCTCCACCAGCTTCTCCCACCTCCTCTTCTCCCTTCTCCCCCTCCTCCTCCACAGCTTTCCCCCTCCTTCTTCTCCACCGCTTTTCCCTTCTCCCTCCTCGCATTCTCCACAGCTTCTCCCCTCCCTCTTCTACCACGTTCCCTCTCCCTTTTCCCTCCTTCTTTGCTCCACAGCTTCTCGCCTCCTCCTTCTCCACCACCTTCTCCCCTCTCTCCCTCCCTCTCTACCAGCCTTCTCCCTCCTTCTCCTTCTCCCTCTCCTCACTCCTCTCCACCAGCTTTCCCCCTCCTGCCTTCTCCACCAGCTTCGTCCCTTCTCTCCCTGCCTCCTTCTCCACCAGCTTCTCCCTCTCCTTCTCACCACTTTCTCCCTTCTCCCCCTCTCCTCTCCACAGCTTCTCCCCATCCTCCTTCCCCTTCTGAACAATTGTAGAAAACGTTGGCAAATCAGCGCTCCATACAAAGCACACCAGGAATATGTCTTGCTTACAATACAGTTTGCGCAAGTGTGACGTCACAAAGTGGTGCCACCTGGGGACTGTGTTTTGGAGACTATTTCTATTTCATAACTTCGGAACATTTGGAGCATCACGACTTTTCAGTGATGTATATAAGTATTCGGGATATAAATAAACTTATGAATAATTTATCGTTCAAACACTCGTAACATATATGTGTTAGGTTCGTAACTCAATGTATTTTGGAATAAAAAACTTTTGTAAAATCTCACCTTTAACCTTTGAATCAGTGTTATATGTGGGTGATAAATCTGTCCGTTAAACTTTCATAAACATACTTTCTCCTGATGATTTCTGCAAATAATTATTTATATAAGAAAAAAAACGTGTTAAAAAGAAAACGGTACTAAATTTTCAAGATAAATTTTTCTTAAGTTGTGCATGAATCATTATTATGCTCTCAAATGCCATATAAAATGAAAGCTGGAAAAAAAAGGAAAGAAGCCAATCGTTGACCACACTATCACAGCACATAATAAGGTCTCACTTCACAAACACACAACAACAACACACACATCACACACACACACACACACACACACACACACACACACACACACACACACACACACACACACACACACACACACACACACTTACACACAAAATAATGGTGATCCAAAATCGTGGGGGGACATTTTATATGATGTCCCCCTTTGAAAATTCGTGGGGGGACATGTCCCCCTGTCCCCCCTCCCCTGGATTTGTGCCCCTGCGTGAAACAGTCGCAGAGCCTGGGCCGGCTACTTCATAAAACGAGCCTCAAGGTCACGCGTGACGCGGCGGCTTTTGATGTACACGATCGATCGATCGCGTCCGGCCTGCGTAGCACGCGCGGCACACATCACATACACACACACTTGCAGCGTCAAATAAACGCGTGAATAAAACCCGGACCCGAATAATAATAATAATAATAATAATAATAATGACTGATATATAATGGGTCCGGACTGGTACTAAATGGATCCGAGGTCAGAGTCCGGGTCTGGGTCCGGGTTTTATGCAGGTTTTCCGGGTCCGGGTCCGGGTCTGGGTTTTATTCACACCCCACACCGAATCGTAACCGAATATCAGTAATTTCGTACCGTAAGACGTGGATCGCGAAGTAGCTCGGCAGGGGTGAAGGTGGAAAGTGGAAGGTGGAAGGTGAAGGTGGAAGGGCGGAGTATTGAAGGAATAGGAAGGAAAGATCGGGAGCGCGGCGAAAACTGGACTATACGGCCACAGACCACAGTGCCTGGCAGTGGTGGTGTGTGGACTGGTCGGCTACAGTGGTATGAGTCGTGCAGGGAGCGGAGTCCCGGAGCCGCTGTTTCTTTACAATAGATGCTACCCCTCCTTGGCTGAACTGGGATACGATGGGGATGGGTGAAACACCGCGCAGACATATTAATTACCCACATAATCCGGCTGTGATGTGGAGGTTTATTCTAAAAAGGGAGCATCTGCTAGGCATCTCTAGGGCGGCCGACTGGCTAACAAAGGATGAGTACGTCCTTGTTTGGTGATGGATTCGTGTAGACTAAATTAAGAGCATATATAAAGCAACGCGAAGCGGTTAGTCTTCAGTCTTAATTTCGTCTGTGCCTGCGTGTGTGTCATCGTTGCCTCCAGTACGCAAGTTGTTCTTAAGCCGTTGGCTTGGGGTTTTTGCTACTCTATTTACTTTGTACTGTCTTATCGATCTATCTCTTCTCGAATATTCATTTCTTATATTTCTTAACGTAGATTTTCTTTATAGCAGTTGTGAGAGAAGCACTTTGCACTGTTTTGTCTTGGCCCCTCGTACTATCGTGCTAGTAATCTATTGCTATAGGATCTTTCTTGTAATAAATCTATTTTTCGTGGCACTGCCTACTCTCTTGTTCTTGTGATTATTAAGTGTTACCATTTCTACGCACTTCTCGTAAGACGTAAAGTACACGCTTACACTATATAGTGAAAGTGCGCATGACCACTACCTACATCGTAATGATTTCTAAATACTGTCGTTATTAAACTTTAAATTGTCAATGCAACAAATCAAACTGCGCACAGCACGCGAAAATAACAACTTCACCCAAATAGTAGAATAGTAGGAGTTCAATACAAACAATGGCAGTATATATATGTCAATTAGTAATAAAAATTATTACATACACAAACTAATAACTTTTATTATATTATGTAAGGATAGTTTATTTTAATAAACCGTCTTTGTTTACAACAAAGCGGCATGAAAGACACGGACATAAGATTAGCACGCACTCCCTATATAACACGTGGCATATCAGTTTGGATGACATACAGTCCCTTACGGGACGGACCAACAGGATCCATGCACAACAGGGAAATAACTTTATACACCAGTATACCTAGATGCTCTGAATAGTATATACTACCGTGAAATACTACTACTGCATTACAACCAGGTCGGCTTCAGGTTTAACCCGTCATATAGCTATCGTACGTGCTAACATTTGTACAAAGACAAATACAAGTACACAGACAAGCCGGTTCAGAAATCGCAGACCGTATAACGTATAAGAATATTATGTGATACGTGTAACGTTATGCGGGCTACGATTTCTAGGCTCACAACTAACACATGCTGACACCTAGCGACGGAAAGTGATAATTTACAGCATTGTTCAGTAGATTGGCTAACTTTGATATAATAATCAAGGTAGATGTTTGGTAATTGTTTACGACAAGCAACTCCCCTTGTGTACATTGTAATAACAGCTTCCATGCCCTCTTTTACCTGTAAATGTATAACACGTTGCAAATAAAATAAATATAGATGATATTACTATATTATGACAAAATAACCAGAGATTATCTAAGAGAGTATCTCCGAGGCCTTGTGCATCACACACATCTCATCAAGAGCGGATAATACCTAGAGTGTACAACGGAAAAACGGGAAAATAGTGCTATTTCACGACTACATTATTCTACTTTGCCTGCGAGTCTAGAATAATTTGATGGTATTGCATTAAGCAGAATTCTTTGCTCTCTAAAACAAGACCAACCGCTTGTCAATACGATACTCCTAGGCGGAGATATCGGATCCTAAACCTCCCCCGCGAATGCGAATAAAGCCAGACGCCCACCTCGAATCCACTTTTGCCACCATCCTACACGCGGGTAAGATTTGGCTGATCGGTTCCAGTCACACTGGGAGCGCTGATAATATGAAATGCTCAATAGCCCAAATTTGAGTACTGTTACACACTCTAGTAACTGCAGCTCGTTCGTAAAAACTTAGAGAGCCGGCTCCATTCATGACGCGGCGCTTGCCGTGCCTAGCGAACCGAAATGAAGATAAGGGGCAATAGGCCGATGCCCAGAATGTCACCTATGATACCAAGCACCGTCCAGCATAAAATTTATCGCGGCAAAAACCAACTTTCACGAAAGGCAACGCTTAGGCCGCGTGTGTATGAGGATGGTGGCAGAGTGGTTATTCGATGGTGGCGTCTTGGCATGTGGGAGGGGAGGTTTAGGATCCGATATCTCCGCCTAGGAGTATCGTATTGACAAGCGGTTGGTCTTGTTTTAGAGAGCAAAGAATTCTGCTTAATGCAATACCATGAAATTATTCTAGACTCGCAGGCAAAGTAGAATAATGTAGTCGTGAAATAGCACTATTTTCCCGTTTTTCCGTTGTACACTCTAGGTATTATCCGCTCTTGATCTCATTGATAACGTGGAAAACCAATAACACAAAATACACAAAATAACAACCTGGACAAACAATTCACTACTCCTCGCACCACACCACTTACATTCGTAAAATTTTAAATTTCAGGAGTTTTTAAAATTTTTACTCATGCACGTAATATGGAGGAAAATCATTTAAAATCCGAATATGTCTATCCAATTTCCACTGTTGGCAAATGTTAGAAGTACTAACACCTGTCGTTTAAAAGTACATAAATTTAATGCCAAATTCATATTAGGTTGTCTATAGTTTCACTGCTGATTACTAATAAAAGGTCCAATTGAAAATCATCTTCATTCACCAGCAATTGTTAACAATTCGAATCCCAACTGGCAAAGTAGGTGTAACTACGGTTGCTGCATGGCACACTTCCACACACATGCTAGGCCATACGCATGCTCAATTTGTCACTCGGGTTAGAACATAATATTGGGACACACGTATCTTTGCTAGTCCTACTAGTACTGTCACGTGATCAGTGTTTTTTATAGGTTTGTTACCAGCTAAAAGTTCAGGCAATTTTTTTAGCTCAGTTGTTGACAAAGGACATTTAAGTCTAGTTTGTAAGGTAACAAACCATGAAATAGGACAAACTAATATGAATTCGGCATTAAGCTTTATAAACAGCACAAGGTGTACGTCATTTACTCTATCAATTGCCAACAGTATAGATTAGCTAGACATAATACGGCTTTAAATAATAAACACGTTAATTTCCTACACGCAACAAAAAAATAACGCACGAATGATTGTGTTTATCGACCATCAGTGTGTCAATAATTTCTCATAGCATTTATGCAGCGATAATTTCACTGGTCTGAAGACCACGAATCATCTTGCATCACTGAGTTAATTCCCAGTTTCATTTTCTCATCATAGAAGAGATCACCATGATTCCTAAACACCGCTATCAATCAGGGGTTCATTTCATCTATACATTCATTACACACTCGATCCTTTCATAGTTGCAATGTTACATCTCTAGACTCTCTCACAGTCGCAGTATTCCTGCCCTCCCATCTCGAACCATTATTTCTTTCTTACTGTCGTTGTGTCTCTTCCCTCCCACCTTCTCAAAGTTACATCTTTCTCACTGTCACAACATTACTTCCTCTCTGACTGTCGCAACACCACACCCCTCTCACCGTCGCAATGTTTATATCCCCTCTTACTGTCGCAGATTTACATCCTTCTCACTGTCGCAACATTTCTTCCCTTCACACCACCGCAGCGCTACTTTCCCTTCACAGTCGATGACTTGCCATAGAGGCTGTCCAGGAGAAGTCCGCTGAAGACTAGCGCAGTGCCTGTCCACTGCCGTGATGTCACCGCGTTGCCAAACAGCAGCACAGAGGCGAGGATTGTGAAGAACTTGCGCGTTGTCGTGATGATCGAGCAGGGCAGTGGCCCAAAATCAGCCACCGTCAGGAAGATGAAGTACTGCAACGATGGAAGAAACGATGGACCTCTCTAGTTCCCTGCCCGAAAAGTTCCCTCTTGTACTACTATAAACTAATTAATATTTCTCTTTCAAATTTTATTCGACCCATCTGCCCGCGGGGACTGACATTGTTCTAGCCGATCGGGGTTGTGATAAGAGCAGTCTATAAAACTGCTTGGCAATAAAGTGCTGCAAATTCGACAATTTAGCATGCTCATGGGATAAACATCCATAAATTGGTTTTAAATTTGACCGACCTAGCAACGATATCTAAGGAGGGCATGGTTATTTCGCTCAGTCGAATAAGTAAATTGCTTCATATGGCCGAGCAAGACAAACCAAGCTTTCTTTTGGATACTGTTGCTAGGGAGACCAAGCTCGTGCAGCTTGTGGTTTTACATGCGTCCACACCAGAATGTCAACATCAAGACACTACGCAACTAAGCAATGTTTTTAGAAGGTTCCATCGCAGTGCTGGTTACAGAGGCGATAACGCGACGCAGCAGACTACCACTCCCTCAGACATACTCCCGCTTTCTACAATCACGGCGCATAAGGCAAAAAGGGTTTGCACAACTAAGGCAAACAAAATTTCTGGGTTTTTCCATGACCGTTCAAGGACATAAAAGGTCAATTTTCCTGATCCCAAGATTTAAACCTAACGCAATCACTACAACTGATAACTTTCTATCAAAGATATTGCACTAAACTTGTTGTTATCATTGTTAAAATGTGAACACAATAGACGTGCTCATTTCCAACGACCTTCCACAACCTGGGAAAAACAAAATAGCCAATTTTTTTGAGGTTTCTATGACCATAGCCAATTTTCCAGGGTGTTCCAGATCTGTAAAATATAATTTTAAAATTCCAAGACTTTAATTTGTCTAGGTTTTCAATGACCCGTACAGATGCAGAGCACAGCAATCCACAGTTGCAGTTCTTTGCACACCCGCGTTCAAAACTCCAATAAACGTGCTAAATAGAAACCAAGATAAAGAAATTTGCTTACAATAAGTTCCGATGATTGATATATTACTTGCTTACCTGGCCCAAGGCACTAGTGACACCAAACAGTAACATGTTTAGTAGAACGTGTGGGTGCCTCTGAGCAAATGGAATGAAGGCGAAAAGTTCTCCGGTGAGCACCACGGCTACAGATAAGAGGCAAAGAAATGTTAATTAACACATTTCTGTGAAGGAAAGAGCATACGTGATGTGTGCAGAGCAGAAGATATTGTCTTATAGCATTTAATACACCTTAACAGATTACCATATTACAGTAGACATCTAACAAGAGCCGCAGAGCGTCTGGGCTCATCTGAGGTCTGTTGCTACGATTATAAACGTAAAATTTCAGTCGTGCGTAGTACCACATTTGTTAGGCGCAGATATGCAGACACGCGCACGTGTGGCGACACTCGGTGATGGGTAGGACACGCCCAACTATCGCGATGTGGAGGGTAGGGAGAGGGTGGGGGGAAGGGTGGGGAGGGGTGGGGAGGGGAAGGTAGCGGGGTGGGGGAGGGATTCTACTAGCAAAGCAGTTCAGTCCTTGTTGGACAGTGAACAATCCATGTTTAACCTCCTCTTGAGGGTCAAAAGGTTATCCGACACTTACTCTTCGCATGTCGAGCAGAAGGGACATTTCATGGTCCTTTCAATAACGCATAAAAATGCTAGGTCACCGCTGAAACAAAAAAGTTTTTCAAATCGCTCCGTCAGACCATGTCCTCAATGTGCCTGAACCGTTGACCTGTGACCTCCAATTTCGGCACAGTGATGGCTTTCCTACATGAATGCTAACGCCTATCACGAGCCTAGGTCGAGCCGTAGATTTTGTGCCGCAATTCTGCATTTCCTCCCTATACCTTAAGTTAAGGAGTGAATGTTCCCCCTTCTTTTACACCTCTTGACCTTTGACCTTTGACCCCAGCTTCGACATCCCAACTCGTTTTGACGATCCCCCCCGATGTGCCGAATATCGTGACCGTACGGTCGAGCGCGTTAAGATTTGTGCCAACTGTTGACGCACGGGACGGACGCTCGGGCGACGGACGGACGCACGGACGATCATGCGATTCTACAAGCTGCATCTGACTATGTCAGATGAGCTAAAAATCCAGACTGCTCCAGGGAGTTGGGTCAGTCCGGATTTTCGGATTTTCCAGATTCTCGGGCAGCTAGTACTTTTTAAAATTCTAATTTATAGGTGGAATAAAGAAGAGATGAACAGATAAATTCTGAGTTTATTCATTAGCAAATACAGCATGCTTCATTTATCAAAACGAGCAGTTTTTAAGCTGAAATAAAGTCAGCACTCTGACAAAAATGTAAACATACAAAATTTTCACTGCCAAAAAAAGAGCATGTAATGTTTGAAATCATATTTAAAAATTAATATTAGTAAAAGAAAAATACAGCAAACAAATGAAAGGGGAAGTTATTTTATGCAAATTAATTATTTATTTTGTGTTTATTAAAAGAGAGTTAAATTTTGAGTGTTTTCGAAAAGTCCAGATTCTCGCGGTGGTCCGAATTTCTGGCACTCCAGATTTTTGAACTTTCTACTGTACAAAATATAGTACGCGCACCCGGTCGAAAAAATCCAATGCGCCATGAAGAAGTAGCTAGGCCTACTAACACTTGAATAATGGAATAGGTGACAGCTTGTATGCCTGGACAACTGACTCACCGAATGCCAGGTATAATGTGGACCACAAATTAATATTCAACATCATATGATGTCCTTTGTGTGGAATGGTAACCTCTCATCCTATCCTGCATTGCTCCAGTAACTCCATCTAGTGTCAATGACACACAACTGAAACCATAATGAATTGTGTCAATGACACTATAGCTCACAACAAAAAAGTACACAAATGAGCGAGTGCCAACAAGTCATTTCTAAATCAGCAACTATCTACCTACATTATATAAAAGTATATATGGGAGAACTAAAATTAAACAACAAAACCGAATGAATCTAGATGGCCATTTTCATTTTTGCCAAAAAGTGGACGTGGCTCAAAAGCTAGGTCGACTGGCATGCTCCAAATAGGACGTTCAAATCTCTCCCATAGGAGGTATAACAACTGTATGCAATTTGAAACATGTGGATCAAACGATTCTTAAGTTACGTTGACCGTAGGCAGACACTGAAATGCATAGTGAAATTGCCAAAATCTACCTAATTTGCATAATTAAAAAAAAATCAAAACCCGTGTGAATAGTTTTGGGGCCAGTCCTTAGTCATTCACATACAAAAATGAGCAAAATCCGTTGAACATGAACTGACTTATGGCCATTTCCATTTTTGCCAAAAAGTGGGCGTGGCTCAAAAGTAGCGCGACTGGCGTGCTCCAAAAATAGGACGTTCAAATCTCTCCCATAGGAGTAACAAACTGTATGCAATTTGAAACATTGTGGTCCAAACGTTCTTGAGTTATCATTGACCGTAGGGAACATATGAAATGCATAGTAAAATTTCCAAAATACCCAATTTGCATAATTTTAAAAAAAATATCAAAACCCCTGTGATATGTTTTGGGGCCAGTTAGTCAGGTTCACTTATGTCAATGAAATTATATTTCGTTTCAGAATTATGGTAGATTAGCAAACCATATGCATTTTTGGAAAGGTTATAACATGAGCGAATTCGAAAACAATGTTTACATTTGCCGGAGATACCGGCATGCGCGCCATTTTGGATTTTCAAAATGGCCGCCATAAAATACATATTTGGCCGTATTTCTGCCTCTAATCACCTTAAAACTTTTAAAAATATGCTAATCCTATGTTTTCAGGGACAAGGAATCCAATGAAAGTATCGAATAAGTGTTATGGAGAACAGTAATACAAGAATCAAAAATTTTTAACTTGCCAAAATCTGTCTTTATATTTCGCCGATAGTGGCATAATGGAAATACATCATACATGTTATAATTGTTAACAGGCAGTTAATAACGTCAAGATGTGTCAATCATTCATATCATCTTAGACAGGCATGAAACGTATAGCTAGTAAACGACAGCAAAATACACTGGCAGTCTGTAACATACACACACGTTTACAGAATATGCCATTTAGAGTCATCTTCACTGTCCTGTTGTGTCATAGCGACAATACAGTCCGCATCGTTTTCACAGTCCGTTCCACACAAGCAAAGGTCGGTGCAAGTTAAGTCATTTCTTCTACATTGAGCACCCTCGGGTTGAGCAATTAGCTTTACAATGACATCTGACTAACTCGACAATAGCCTGTGGTGCTGGTAGAACTTTGGTGGTGATAGGTAGTATGTGACCTTGTCGTCCTGATGGTAGCCATGTTTTTGTGTGGTCAAACAACTGTTGGCACATGGCGGCTGGGCCTGCACCAAAACTCTACTCTGTACTCGCACACGTTCGATATGCTCCTCAAGGGCACCAGTTGTTGGAGGCAACTTGTTACTTTCTGCAGATGTTTGCAAAACGATGCATCTGAGGTCAGGGATACTTGCGCGATCTGAATATCTTTTGGCAGATCGCTAAGCATACAAAGCTGGCCAATATGTCTTTCACCTCCTGCCGTTAGATCCGTTGTCCTCTGGTAGTTTCATTAGTGATTTGACTATGTTCCTTTCAGCCTGATGTAGTGTTGAAACCATTTCGTTTTACCTACTCCTGAGAATCGACCGACATTGTCTGCCCCAGTGAATGCGTGGGATACAGGTAACGCTGTTGCCTTGTTTCTTCCTAGCGCTCTCCAGATGCGGCCCTACCTCCAACATACCTGATACCATGGCCATCGATGTGTATTTGCAGAGCTTGTCATAGGCGGCAACAGCCAGAACTAGACGTCTGTATCTGGGGTGAAGAAGACTAGCTGTGCTTTTGGATAACGTTGGGATGCGGCTACTGCTAAGCTGATCATCAATGTGTCAGCTTCCTCGTGGTTGTTTGGGTCAAACTGCATACCGGTACTCTGGTTGCTTCTAGTATGGCCCGATGCTGACGTGATGATTAACTTAGGGAGTTTGCGTTATATTCCAGTGTTGCCTCAGCAAGGTATAGGGTTAGGGTATAGCTTAGACCAGCTTTCGTCTTTTCGTGAGATAGGAAGCGGCCATTGGTATATGTTTGATGTTTGTATCATCTGCAATCTGGTATTGAGCAGGCGTCCTTGCCTTGTCGTCGTTTCTCTCTGGTTTCTCTGCTCAATGAGTCTGCCTTGTATGTGTCGAATACCAAGATAATCAGTCGGATCCTGCTGTCATGTTCATAAAGTGGTCGTTGAAATGATGACCGAAAATCTTTGACTGTGGTGATTGTCGCTGCGTTTCTTTGTCATCTTCTGGACGAGCACCATTCCATCAACAACAGCAATTTTCATAGATGATGATTTAGATGGCGTTCCTGTATCAGCAATATCATTAGCCTGTTCTGTTGCTTCTGCTGCTTGTGCATCAGCATGAATTTCTGTCGTTTTACCAAAGTTGTTCAAGGCTATGGATAAGCTTTGACTTGTCAGTAACATGGTAGGATCGAACCGTCGGGTGCAAACAGTGCTCTGGGGTAAGAGTGAATTCGTAGTTACCAATCGCATGCTTCTGATCGAGCGTCACGGCTTGATCTGGCTAGTACCATCAACCGACCGTACAGATCTTTGGTTTCTTTCAGATCTACTGACTGGTCACGGATCTTTACCGTTTGCTTCTTGTTTCCTGACATGTACATCCTGTTGGTCTGCTTCTTGACTGGTGCCCACAAGCTGACATTTCCATTAACTCGCGTTCTGCAACGTAATCCACATACAGTTCTGCCCAGTGTCGTCGTATTCAGGATCTGTGAGACACTCTATTGGTGCGACATATGCATGTGTGATGAAGTTGTAGAGCTGGTCACTTCAGCAGCGAAGGGATACCGTGACTCAGTATGGCAGCCTTTATGCGATCAACGTTGTTATGCGCTTTTCTCACAGCACTTGTTGAACATCAATGATGCTCTTGTGGCGTTGTTTACAGCAAGATTGAATTAGCCCTTGAATTCAGCTGAAGAACGTCACATCTCAGGAGTGGCCAAGAAGAACCGTTGACGAGCGTTGGCATTATTGGAAATGCCAATTAACCCAGAATGTATCTTCATCATCCTGTTGAGTTGTTCACATGCGTGATCTGCTCCAATCGAGACAAATGGGATCGTACTCTGGTCACAGATATGTTTCCGTCTTGTAGTTCACTCCAGGTTTCTGGATGGCTTGTCTTCAACTCATGCATGTCTGCGATGTAACGTGGCCAGAGGCCGCTTGTATTTTATATCGATCTATGGCGAAGAATAACTTGCTTAGTGCCTCCCCAGCTTGAAGGTGGGAAACGAGATTGGAATTCCTGGATGCCTCAACAAAGTGCCAAGATGGTTTCAACCGGTGGATGCAGTTCATCAAAGACTTCGAACATTGCATTTGAGGATTTCTGCGCTTCCCACATTTTCAGCTGTTGAATGACTCGTCGTCTTAGTGAGGGTTCTGTAGTAGATCGTCATTGGTCCTTGCTCACGCTTTCGGATTTGAGCTTCTGTCAGCTGCTGATTTTTGCACCAAGCTTCCTGGACATTACTGTGCTGCTTCTACGCAAATGACTTTAAGGTTTGGCTTTTCTCGTGAAGAACTGTTCTCAGACAAGTTCATATACGAGCCATACTAAGTGTGGATGTGTGGCACGAAGAGTTCTCTCGTGTAGGTGGAGCGCAACTTGAGAGATCTGTTCTGGTTGTGCAGAGCCAGTAACGGTCAGCCTCAATCCACGCATCATCTATCCCTGAGTTTTCTATGGACGTTCCCAGAGCTCTCAGCGCAGCCATCACAGCATGTAGCTCACACCCAGTCTGGGGACAACTGCTTCTTTCAGATCAAGTCTTGAATCCAGTAACTGCACTGCCTTCTCGTACAGTGCCATGTCGAACGAAATCACTGTCGGGTATTCTTCACCAACGACCAACGTCTTCAATTCGGATGCTTGCAGAATCACAGTCAGCATGGTAGGCCACTCATGTACGTGCCACTTCTGGCAGCAGTGGTAGTGCGCCGACGTGGGTCAGACATTGGCCAGCTGACACGAGTGATTTGAACCCTGCCCAACCTGGGATGTGGCTCTGTTCTCCATTCTCTTTTGATCTAGATAGAGCAGAAGCTATGATCCAACCTAAGGTGGGCAGTTTATATGTTGCAGAAACGCATATATGCTATATATTAATGGATTTTGTTTTGTTTCAATAACAATATTTCCTGAAAAAAATACCAAGTGTTACAGTTAGAAGTCTGGTTATGTCACCAATGGATTCCTTGTCCCTGAAAACATAGGATTAGCATATTTTAAAAAGTTTTTAGGGTGATTAGAGGCAGAAATACGGCCAAATATGTATTTTATGGCGGCCATTTTGAAAATCCAAAATGGCGGCCATGCCGGTATCTCCGCAAATGTAAACATTGTTTTTCGGATTCCTCATGCTATGACCTTTCCAAAAATGTATAGGTTTGCTAATCTACCATATTTCTGAACGAAAAAACATAGTGAACCTGACTAAGTCCTTATTCATTCACATACCAAAAATGAGCAAAATCCGTTTAATCTGAACTGACTTATGGCCATTTCCATTTTTGTCAAAGTGGGCGTGGCTCAAAAGTAGGTCAACTGGTGTACTCCAAAATAGGACGTTCAAATCTCTCCCATAGGAGTAACAACTGTATGCAATTTGAAACATGTGGGTCAAACGGTTCTCAAGTTATCGTTGGCCGTAGCCAAATGTTGACGGACGAACGAACGTACAACGGACAACGCCCCATGGCAATAGCTCATCTTGATGTCAAGGTGAGCTAAAAATCGACTGTAAATTGTAAGTCATAGGTAGTCTACAGTACTTAACATCTAGCATCTTCATGCATTCATACTGCAGTGAGATTTACCTTAAGTCAATTATTAGTGAGCAAACCAACACTGATTAATTATATCTGACAGAATATTAAATATAACATTAGACACATATCTGTATGATGATAATGAGAAGGCCATTGAAATTCTCAGATCACAAAAAAAGACATGCAGTGCTGCAATAAGGGCTTCTGTTAATAAATTTTAATAATTTTCTTTTTATAGCGATTACTTCACCGTAAATAGTAAAAGTAAAATAAATATTTCTACTTTTTCACAAAATGTAAGTAATTCTGTTCACTTTTTATGGTTAAATTGCTGCATTATACTTCCTATTTTACTATACTGCTCGATGTAAACATACACTCGTGACTCATACATAGCCCATAGCAAGCAATAATATATATATATATATATATATAATAATATATAAGCAATAGTATGTAAGCATAGCAAGCAAGCTGTTTAAAGTTTTACAGCCGGATGCCCTTCCGGACAACTCCTTTTAGTTGGGGAGCTCCTGGGGAGCACCTTCATGACCCAGTGGTTAGGCCACGTATACTGTCCACTGAAGGCTGTGAGTTCAAACCCTGGCCGGGGCTCGCAACATTGGAGACTGTGAATCTCCCGTGGCTCGGATGACCACGTCAAATGGCGGTCCCGTCTCCAGTAATACTAAGGCCAATGGTGATGTAAAGAACCACTGAGGGTGCCAAAAAAACTCTGACTGTGACCATCCTCAGTGCCATTCGGCTAAAAGGCTAACTACCTGGCTTTACCCAAGCTAGGTCACACCCCATGGCTAGCTATAGATGTTTATTCCTTACGGAATGTCCCTGCGTTATTATCCATGTAACCGTAGGCTATGCAGTAAACTATCCAGATCCAGATCCAGATTTTAGTCGCCTTCTATGACACGCAGGGAGATACGTTTGGCCTACCTCTTAAAGCCGGACCTACACAGCTGTTTTTACGTTTCCACACTCAAGCTCTTTTTCTGAGTGCTAAGCAGAGAAGCAGTGTGTACCATTTTTCAAGTCTTTGGTATGACCCGGCCGGGATTTAAACCCCCGACCTTCCACATAACATGCGAGGCGAGCACTCTACCAATTGAGCCATCGCTGCGTCTGTTCTTAAAGCGAAAGCTTTAGAAAGGCACACTAGAGGCTGCCACCTTCTTCAGCGCTCGGACTGCACCTACCAGCAGGGCTTCACCGGCGCCGACGACGAGATCACTGGAGCTGGATACCTTGCCGTCCTTGTACATGAAGAGCGCGACTCCGATGACGATCATCGTCACAAAGACATACTTCTGCAGGTTGTAGCGCTTGCCACCAATCAGCACGCCGAGCAGCATGACAGGTATCGGCTTGCAGGACTTCCCCAACACCTTAAAGGGTTTATTGCAAGGTTATTGCTCAGAAACGATCAATCCGAAAAAAAATATAGCGAAATATAGACTCACCTCACAGCAGATATATCGCTGATTGCACCAACTTGAAAACCACTAAGACTATGCAGTTATAGCATAGAAAATTGGATTCGGATACATCGTAACACCATGGCATTTTTGATTATAGCGAGAATGAAAACACAAATCGCGCCTTAGTCAGAATGGGTAAACTTGTAAATTGTCGGCGCACTAACTTAGTTACAACTTCTGCAACAAATTCAAACAAAGTGGCATCTGTTTCTGATATTATGTGTAGTTGACTCCGTTTATTTTTTGAAATTGGTCAATAGCTGGCGCTATAGTCCAAGATTCACAAGAAATGGCAGCAGTAATCAAAACTCGAATTGTGCATGTTTTGGTGAATATAGCTAAGTACGAAGGTTCTAAGACATGTTAGCGTTACTCTAGACAGTTGCTGTTATTCAAGCAATAACGGCAAGTGTCGTAAAGGTGGGGGAAACACGAGATTGCATGGGTGTAAATTGTTTGCAATCCTGACTTTTAACGAAAGCCGCCAAAATAAGTCAGGCGTCGCAGTGCCCCATCCCTAACGGAAGCCGCCGAAGACATCAGGTGCAGCATGCAATCTCGTAACCGCAGCCGACTTTCGCAAATGCTTGCTGCTCATGAATTACTCAGGAAACACTCGTAGACAAACGATTCGTACAACCTGGCCTTGACAGTGTCAGTCTACTTAATGCCAACTTCCGCATGGGGAACACATATCAGTTATGATCTGTACATAGCTTACTAGCCATTATGCAACAGCACCTACAATCACCATGCAGTACCTACCAGATGTCACACCACACAGATCACTATGTGCATCACTTAGATGCACATTGCTGTGATGAATAGTAACTACTAACTACGAACGAGGCGCGACTTGCCGAGAATTTCACGTAACACCGAAAACAAACTTCTATCAGAAATATACAAATCCATGAAAACGAAACATTATTGAGAAACGAAGGCACACTTGCAGTCAAATAGATAACTTGTAAAACTCATAGCTACAAGAGAGTTAAACTGTGGCGTGTAGTTGTGCCTAGAGGTACACGAAAGACCTGGTGCAGTCACGTCACTGCGTGTGCATGAGTACTACTGTACATCTACATGCACACAGCAATAGTCTACTCATGTATATAGGATTCTGGGTGGGGCTACATACCTGTGTCGGATAGTTTACATGCTGTAGCGCCAGGTTGCTTGCCAGCATAGCGCCGAGATAGGACACACTGCACATGGCGAAGAGACTGGTAGGGGTTGAATCAGTACCTGGATTCGTCACTCTGATGACTGCAAGTGAAACAGATACTCGATCAATACGGGCACTCAGTCAATGCATGAGCATTCAGTAACCACCCGTGTACTTTACTAAATTGAATTATTGTGAAATTGTATTGTTCCACCGTCTGTATATACTCCCATTGAGTACATTTGTATAGGCTCAGAAATGGTAAAAATGGTGATACTACAAGACCTGTCTTAATTTAAATTATACACATCATAGAATACACAATATTACAGCATAACTTGTGAATGCTTACTCAGTTTTGAAAACAGTCCATTTATAACACATTGCATGAACACCAGGCAGAGTGTATAGGTGAACTTCTCAGTTGTGTCCCCTACAACATATTTTCCCCTCGTTCTGCAAGACAATTCAAATCATAAAAATTTATCTTAATTTCTTGTAGTTATGAGACACGTGAACTATACAAGAAATGTGTGTATGGAACACGTTTTTGTATGTATCTATGGTTGTACAATATGGTCACCATGATAATTCAACCACGTGAACATTTGGCTACGCATAGGTACTAATATTATGGAGGTGGTTATTTGTGTATTTTTTCTGTGAAGGCATGAAACGAAGCAAGCAATGTGCTATGCGCTCACCCTTTCCCACCTGCTCTTTCTTGTGCGGGGTGAGTGCAGTGAATTTGTGTATGTTCCAGAGGAACGTCTGAACTTCATTTACGGGGAACTAAATAATAGGCAAAACATAATAATAGTGAACATAAATAAATAAACATTAAGACTTTGGTAGTAAATACGTTTAATTCCTGTTTAATCAAATCATGGTTCAACTAATTCAAGTGCCCGTTGGCTTATTTTGGCTTTTTTTGGCTTTTAATTTGCCCAATTAGCTCTAGGTAGCCCGACCAGGCTGTGTGACTAACGTCAATATACACAGGTCTTCTAACCCTAGCAAAGACCGTTTCTTGGAGCTAAGCTCTAGGTTCAAGTGCCCTTCGAAGAGCTATGCCTAACGGCTAGCTAAAGGCTAGCTCTATACTATCTAGAGCTACTGCGGGCCGGCCGTGCTGTGCACAAACTATCGCTCATAGGGTCTATGTCCCCCAGGGTACTGCCGGAACGTACCCTGGTAACTATTTGATCCGAATATCGTGACCGTACGTCGAGCGGTTAAGATTTGTGCCCAACTGTTGACGCACGGACGGACGCTCGGACGGACGGACGGACGGACGCACGGACGATCATGCGATTCTACAAGCTGCATCTGACTATGTCAGATGAGCTAAAAATCCAGACTGCTCAGGGATTGGGTCAGTCCGGATTTTCGGATTTTCCAGATTCTCGGGCAGCTAGTACTTTTAAAATTCTAATTTAAGGTGGAATAAAGAAGAGATGAACAGATAAATTCTGAGTTTATTCATTAGCAAATACAGCATGCTTCATTTATCAAAACGAGCAGTTTTAACGTGAAATAAAGTCAGCACTTGACAAAAATGTAAACATACAAAATTTTCACTGCAAAAAAAGAGCATGTAATGTTTGAAATCATATTTAAAAATTAATATAGTAAAAGAAAAATACAGCAAACAAATGAAAGGGGAAGTTATTTTATGCAAATTAATTATTTATTTTTAGTTTATTAAAAAGAGAGTTAAATTTGAGTGTTTTCGAAAAGTCCAGATTCTCGGGTGGTCCGAATTTCTGGCATCCAGATTTTTGGACTTCTCCTGTACAAAATATAGTACGCGCACCAGGTCAAAAAAATCCAATGCGCCATGAAGAAGTAGCTAGGCCTACTAACCCTGAATAATGGAATAGGTGACAGCTTGTATGCCTGGACAACTGACTCACCGAATGCCAGGTATAATGTGGACCACAAATTAATATTCAACATCATATGATGTCCTTTTGTGGAATGGTAACCTCTCATCCTATCCTGCATTGCTCCAGTAACTCCATCTAGTGTCAATGACAACAACTGAAACCATAATGAATTGTGTCAATGACACTATAGCTCACAACAAAAAAGTACACAAATGAGCGAGTGCCAACAAGTCATTTCTAAATCAGCAACTATCTACCTACATTATATAAAAGTATATATGGGAGAACTAAAACAACAAAACCGAATGAATCTAGATGGCCATTTTCATTTTTGCCAAAAAGTGGACGTGGCTCAAAAGTAGGTCGACTGGCATGCTCCAAAATAGGACGTTCAAATCTCTCCCATAGGAGTATAACAACTGTATGCAATTTGAAACATGTGGATCAAACGGTTCTTAAGTTACGTTGACCGTAGGCAGACACTGAAATGCATAGTGAAATTGCCAAAATCTACCTAATTTGCATAATTAAAAAAAAATCAAAACCCGTGTGATATGTTTTGGGGCCAGTCCTTAGTCATTCACATACCAAAAATGAGCAAAATCCGTTGAACATGAACTGAATTATGGCCATTTCCATTTTTGCCAAAAAGTGGGCGTGGCTCAAAAGTAGGTCGACTGGCGTGCTCCAAAATAGGACGTTCAAATCTCTCCCATAGGAGTAACAACTGTATGCAATTTGAAACATGTGGGTCAAACGGTTCTCGAGTTATCATTGACCGTAGGGAGACAATGAAATGCATAGTAAAATTTCCAAAATCTACCCAATTTGCATAATTAAAAAAAAATATCAAAACCCCTGTGATATGTTTTGGGGCCAGTTAGTCAGGTTCACTATGTCAATAAATTTAATTTCGTTCAGAATTATGGTAGATTAGCAAACCTATGCATTTTTGGAAAGGTTATAACATGAGGAATTCGAAAAACAATGTTTACATTTGCGGAGATACCGGCATGGCCGCCATTTTGGATTTTCAAAATGGCCGCCATAAAATACATATTTGGCCGTATTTCTGCCTCTAATCACCTTAAAAACTTTTAAAAATATGCTAATCCTATGTTTTCAGGGACAAGGAATCCAATGAAAGTATCGAATAAGTGTTATGGAGAACAGTAATACAAGAATCAAAAATTTTAACTTGCAAAAATCTGTCTTTATATTCGCGATAGTGGCATAATGAAATACATCATACATGTTATAATTG